CTATTCTGGAAAAGGGGGCGGGGAGCAGCAGCTCATTTGCATTTAAAGAGACAGGCCCGAAAAACAGCGTGTTTCTGCTTCCACTCAAAATAGGCATTTTCAAAATGATATAATAAATGATCTGTGGAGTATTTTGAGCTGAAACTTCACAGACACATTCTGGGGATACCAGAGACTTATATTGCATATTGTAAAAAGGGGCATAATATGTCTCCTTTAAAATATATAACATTGGTTTAAAACCATTTTTTATATTATAGAAAGATATAAAAAGTATATATATATAAACAAACTCTCTCAAAATGACATTATAAAAACTACTCAAATAGAAAATAGTTCATTTCTAATTGTAATGATGTTTCACAATATTACTGTTTTTACTGTATTTTTGATCAAATAAAAGCAGCCGTGTTGAGCAGAAGATACTAAACTTTAAAAATGTGCAGGGATAAACAAATATGAGACATTTCCTTTCCTGTAAAAGTTGAAAAAAAAAGTGCTTATGATTGAATGCAGTATATTCTTTGTCCAGTAGGGAGGGACCAACACCATCACATTTGCTTTTCCTGCCTACAACATTGGTTTTATTTCCAGCAAACTCTAGCTAGAGAGCAGGAATAACTGCTGACAGACAGAAGTATTGACCGCTGAACCCGCTGTGATGAACGAGCTCAATCGTGCAGAAACAGCAGCAGAACAGAAGCTCTTATGTTGTTTGCTATTATTTCTCGTCTCTTTCTGTGCTCAGTGCTGGTCATGATGACACTAGTTAAACCATCAGCGGGACTCCAGCCATAGGAGGTCATGTCATGTGTCATTTCAACCAGAAACGCCACATTTCATTTGTTTCCATAGCAATGTGTGCTTTTTGTCTGCGTTCGGACGTGAACTTGGTGTTTAATTGCCGCTGGCCTACAGTCAATGCATCCAAGCATTCAGCAGAGCTCCTTCATCAGATTGTGTTTACTGCGGTTATTCTTGAAACGGCCACCTGTCAAAGCCAAATATACAGATGAATTCATTTGAAACAATGGAATGACCCTCGCCAGACAATACAACATCAAAGAATAGGAAACTACATGCCAAAAAAAAGATAAACAAAGAAGGAATGACAAAATGATTGCAGTATTCCACAGTTACAATATTTAATATATCTTAAATGTATAAAACGAGTGTCAGTTTAATGTTCAGAGTCATTATAAGTCAAAAGTAATTTGACATCCTGAAGTCAAGTTCTTTCTGGATTTTTAAAATGAGGGCTTTAAAATGTTTTTGTTTTAAAATGCAAAAATAAAATAAAAAAGCAATCAAATAAAATACAAAAACCGAAAATGTCATTTTATTTTTTTATTATTTAAAATCAATAAATAAAGTAAAATGCAAAAATATTTAAAATGCAATAAAATAAAATAATCACAAAAAAATTTTTTTGGGGGGGGATTGGCAAATCTACTAGATACTTCTCATCAAAAAATCAAATATTAAAATAAAATACATTAGATATTTCCCATCATTTTTCCAATAGAAGTGAATGGTTAAGTGCCAGTGGAAGTGTTCTTGAAAACATTATCTCTACAATTCCAATATAACTGTTGCTTTAAAATAACTTTTACAATGAATAACTGTCTATACATTTATCTGTCGTGACCCTTTTCTTGTTACTATACATATTCTATACATTCGGTCGGACACTGATCTAGAAAGACTGTCTCTCTAATGATGAATTGAGAGAGACAGTGAATTATGTATTTGAAAGGATCCTATTGTTTTTGCATGTCAGACCCAACAAACCGAATCCATCTGACACAAACTCCATTCTCACTCTCTCACACACACACTTCAACTCAACTCCTATACTAACACTGCACGGTTTTCCACGCTCGGCCCCGTTATCATCCCTGAAATAAAGGTAGTTTGTGTTTTTACTCCAATTATAAACTTATATGCAGTTGATTGCATTGCATTGCAGGAAACAGTGCCACACACTATAGTATTTATGTATAATGCATTATAAAAATATTCACAATGTATGTTGCAATGCATTATAGATTTTCATAAATAATTGCAACTGAAGTCAAAATGCATTATAATATTTTAAGATATTTTTTTTTACATCTAAAAATTGGTTATTTGTCATGTTTTATATGCATATACTGTATTTTCTCAAGGTGTAAATGAATGCACAAGTGTTATAATGTATTATAAATGTGGTTAAAACTATTCATCAGATCATACAATGCATTACTAGGTGCATTACAAGGCATAATGAATGCATTAAAATACTTTTATAATGCATTATAAAGGCTGTGAGTAATGTGGTACCACAATTTCTTTTGTGGATATTTATTTATTTCAATTATGTATTAATGCAGAAAGAACACAATTATGATTGGTTTGATGCTTCAAAATAATATGCCCCATTAAATTGGCAAAAAAAAAAGAAATTAAATAAAATCACTCAATTTGTCATGTTTCAATAAAAAAAAAAAGAATTTAATTACATTATTTAAAAAATAGTTTTGACCATTTTATTTTCCTATAGTGTTGCCATATTTGTTGATTTTTTTTTCAATAATCTAAAAATGTGATGAGGAAAAACAATTGCATGATTCATTTAGCAGGCATCAGGGGCGATTCTAGGATTTTCATTTTAGGGGGGGCTCAGCCCCCAATGAGGGTATTATATATATATATATATATATATATATACATACATATACATATACATGCAATACAGTATTCCACTGTATTGCATAGATAGGTATAACATATAATTGAATAAAGGATTTTCATTTTAGGGGGGCTCATCCCCCAATGAGGGTATATAATATATATATATATAACAAAAAATGTTTGACTAATAGGGGTGGTATGCTAAATTTATATACTAAAAAGTGCAGTATTCCACTATATTGCATAGGTATAACATATAACTGAATAAACCAAATACAAGTCTTCATGATCTCACACACACACACACAAAATTTTACTGTTTGCATTTTTAGTACAACCCAATTTTCCTTAGTTCAAGCATGCAAATCTCTTTGCCACATGCACTGGAAAATGTATTACATTGAAAGTTAAGTTTTCAAATGAAAATGACAACATAATCGTTTTTTATAAAGTATGTGTTCATATGTGCTTCATTTTCACTGGAGGAAACAGCTGTGGTGTGATGAGGGGTGAACGCAGCGAAAACTTAGGCTACAGTAGATGGGGAACCGATTGATATTTTGTAAACTGTATTTATGACAGAACA